TAATAAAATATAAAATAATAAAATAAATTAAAATAATATCATAAAAACTTAGAGCAGAAATCAATGAGCTGAAAGCCCAAAAAACAATCTGAAGGATCAATGAAACCAAGATGTGGTTCTTCGAGTAAATAAACAAGATTGATAAACCACTAGCAAGAATCATAAAGAAAGATAAAGAAAGACCCCTAATAAAATAAAAAAAGAGATCATCACAACAGAAACCACAGAAATTCAAATGATAATCAGAGGTTACTATGAGAATCTTTATGCCACAAAACAAGAGAACACCGAAGAAATGGATAAATTCTTGGACTCCTATAATCTCCCAAGTCTGACCCAAGAATATTTGGAATACCTGAACAAACCTATCACTATTGAGGAAATTAAAATAGTAATCAAAAGTCTCCCCCCAAAAAAGAGCCCTGGTACATATGAATTTATTAGGGAATTCTTCCAAACCTTTAAAGAGGAACTACTCTCAATCCTGTTCAACATTTTCCAGGAAACTAAATAAACAGAAACACTTCGAAACAGTATTTATGGGGCAAATATCACTCTGATACCAAAAGAAGAAATGAAAATTCTGCTTTTAAAGACCAAAAATGAAAATTACAGGCCAATATCCCTGAGCACAGACTCAAAGATTCTCAACAAAATACTAGTAAATAGAATCCATGGACTCATAAAAAGATCATAGACCATGACCTGGGGATAGGATTCATACTGGGGATGCAAGGATGGTTTAACACCCACAAGTCAATCAACATAATACACTATATCAATAAAAGTAAAGATAAAAAACAATCATATCAATAGATGCAGAAAAGCATTTGACAAGACCCAGCACCCATTTATGACAAAAAAACCAACAAAATGGGAGTTGAAGGAACTTTCCTCAGTATAGTCAAAACCACCTACTACAAGCCCACAGAAAGTTTTATTATAGACATAAAAAACCTAAGAAGACTTCTCTCTAAGATCAGTCACAAGACAAGGTTTCTCACTCTTGCCACTTCTATTCAATGTAGTACTGAAAATACATGCCATAGCAGCTAGGCAAGAAAAAGATATCAAGGACATTCAGATAGGAAAAAAAGTCAAGCTATCACTATTTGCAGAAGACATGATTCTATACTTAGAAAATCCTGAAGACTCTACAAAAAAAAAAAAAACCCTTAGAAATAATACGTTTGTCCTGAGTGCTCAGAAACAGATGACTGGTTAAAGAAACTTTGGTACATCTACACAACGGAGTACTATGTAGCTATTAGAAAAGATAAAGTAATGAAATTTACATACAAGTGGTACTACATGGAAAGTATCATACTAAGCGAAATGAGTCAGAAAGAGAGGGATAGACATAGAAAGATTGCATCCATCTGGGGAACATATAGTAACAAAATAGGAGACTAACACCCAAGAATAGCCGAGATTAGTACCAGGAGGTTTACTCCATGGCTTGGAGGCCAGCCACACATGCTAGGGGGAAAAGCAGCTCAGATAGAGAAGGGAACGCCAAATAAAGGGTGTTGGGAGGATCCTCCCAGGATGAGAGAAGCATGCTGAAAGTAGACTATAGACCAAACTTGATTGCCACTCAATGCCTCTTTTGCAAACCACAACACCCAAAAGGAGAGAGAGAACAAAAGGGAATACCCTGCCACAGAGGAAGGGTGGGATGGGAGGGATGGAGGTGGGAGGGATACTGGGATTCGCGGTGGTGGAAAATGGGCACTGGTGGAGGGATGGGTACTTGATCATTGTATAATTGAAATCCAAGCACAAAAATCTGTAAGTCTACAACTGTATCTCATGGTGTTTCACTAATAAAAATTTTTAAAAAAGAAATAATAAGTCTGTATAGTAAAGTGGCAGGTTACAAAATCAATCATAGGCATGGCATCTCCTGTTGATGGAAAGGAATGATTAACATCATCAAAATGGCAATACTCTCCAAAGCACTATACAGATCAACGTGGTCCCTATAAGAATATCCATTACATTTTTCATAGACCGAAAACTCCTGAAATTCAGACGGAACAATAGATACCCAAAAATAGCTAAAGCAATACCTGGGAAATAGAGGATGGGAGGCATCACCTTCCCCAACTTGAAACTATACTACAAAGTGGTTATAATTAAAACAGCATGTTACTGGAACAGAGATAGACCCATAGAACCAATGGAATAGAGTCAATTATACTGACACAGACCCTCAAAAATATATGTTCACTTAATCTTTGACAAAGGAGCAAGAAATGTAATGTGGAGCAAGGAAATACTCTTTAACAAGTGGTAGTCAGAAAACTGGAGGGCTACATGCAAAAATTTTGAACTCTGATTTCTGTCTAATGCCAGGCACAAAAGTCAGATTGAAATTAATTAAAGATCTCAATATTAGACCTAAATCCACAAGGTACATGGAGTAAAACATAGACAGAACCCTCCATGACACTGAAGCTAAAGGCATCTTTAAAAATGAAACACTCCTGACTAAGCAAGTGGAAGAAAAGATAAACAAAGGGGACCACATTAAGCTAAGAAGTTTTGGCACCTCAAAAGAATTGCTGACCAAGATACAGAGACAGCCCACGAAATGGGAAAATTTATTTACCCAATTCCCATCAGATAAGGGGTTAAAATTTAAGATATGTAAGTAACTAGTAGAACTTTATAATTTAAAAAAACCCCAACCCCATGAAAAATGGGGAGAAGACATGAACAGAAATTTCCTCAAAGAAGAAATACAAATGGCCAAAGGTACATGAAAAAGGTTCCATATCACTAATCATCAGGGAGGTGCAAATCAAAACAACAATGAGATACCAACTTACACCACATAAGACAGGTACAAATCAAAAAGAATAAGAACAACCAGTGCTGGAGTGGTTGAGAAAGGTACTTCCTCAAGCTGGGAGATAGGGACTCTCATTCATTGTTGGTGGGAATGCTGACTGATCCAGTCATTTTGGAAAACAATATGGTCATTCCTCAAAACACTAGAAACTGTACTTCCATATAACCTAGTAATATCACTTTTGGGAATATACCTCCAGGTTGCAAAAATAAAAACAGCAGAAAAGATGTATGCACTTGTATGTTCACTGCATCATGTTTGTAGTAGCCAAAATCTGGAAACAATCTGGGTGCCCAAGAACAGACGACTAGTTAAAGAAACCATAGCACATCTACACAACAGAATACTATACAGCTGTTAGGAAAAATGAAGTCATGAAATTCTCTTATAAATGGATGGACATGAAGAGTATCATGCTGAAATAAGACAGAAGGAGAAAAACAGACATAGAATGACAGCACTCATTTGTGGGCTATTAAAAAAAAATCAATCATAGTATGAGACTAACACCCAAGGAGAGCAAAAATAAGGGCCACGACCAATGGTCCATGATTGGAAGCCTGCCTCAAGGGCTCGGAGAGAGGTCAGTTGGAATAAAGAAGGTACCATTTTTTAAAAATTTTTTATTAGTAAAACACCATGTGGTACAGTTGTGGACATTACAAGTTTTTGTGCCTGAGTTTCAGTTATACAATGATCGAGTAACCATTCCTCCACCAGTGCCCATTCTCCACCACCAATGATCCCAGTAGCCCACTCACCCACCATCCCCCCCCCATCCCATCCCACCTCTGTGGCAGGGGATTCCCTTTTGTTCTCTCTCTTTTTGGTTGTTGAGTTTTGCAAAAAAGGCACTGAATGGCAATCATGTTCTGTCTATAGTCTACTTTCAGCATGCATCTCCCATCCTGGGAGGATCCTCACAACACCCTTTACTTGGTGTTCCAAGAAGGTATCATTTTGACAATGATGGTTGGAAGGGATCTCTATGGATGGGAGATGTGTGTCAAAAATGGATAAAGGACCAAACATGATGGCCTCTCAGTATCTGTGCTGCAAATCATAATGCCTAAAAGGGGGGAGGGAGAAAGAGAGATGAAAGGAGGGAATAGAAAGAGGAGTGAGAAAGAAACAGAGAGAGAGAGAGAGAAGGTGGGGGGGTGTAAGAGGGATATATGGTATATTGGTAGTGGGAAATGTACACTGGTACTCCTCCTCCTCTTCCTCTTCCTCCTCCTCCTCCTTCTCCTCCTCCTCCTCCTCCTCCAGCCCACGAGGAAGACACTTTCCAGTCCCTTTGTGGGCTCCATCACCTCGGACATGGAAACCTCAAAATGAGACTCCGGAGACAAATCCCCACGCACATTCGACCCAGAGGGGCCAATCAAGTGCACGCGGTCTGACCCGCGCCCTCACCAACATCTGCTCGCTCTGTGGGGATTTAGGTTAGACCTCAGGAAGAACTTCCCTCCCGAGTGCCACAGGCAGATCTGTGCTCCTTCCCTTCAGGAGGCTCAGCGGCTCGTTTGTGCCTCCAGTGGCAAAGGGGCCTTCACCCTCTTCAGTGAAAGCACCGCAAGAAGGGGCAGCAGGGCACTGCCGCCAGCTGGGACTGGGAAGGTCCAGGTAGAGAGCAGACAGGGCCTGAGAAAAAGTACAGGGGTACAGTGCTTGCCTTACATGAGGTCAGCCCAAACTTGATCCCCAGAATCACATAGGGTCCTCTGAGTGTGGCTAGGAAGGATTCCTGAGCACAGAGCCCTGGGCACTGCTGGGGAAAGAAGAAAGAAAGAAAGAAAGAAAGAAAGAAAGAAAGAAAGAAAGAAAGAAAGAAAGAAAGAAAGAAGAGGGGAGAGGGGAGAGAGGGAGAAGGAAAGAAAGGAAGGAAAAGGGAGGAAGGAAAGAAGGGAGGAAGGAAAGAAGGAAGGAAGGAAGGAAGGAAGGAAGGAAGGAAGGGAGGGAGGGAGGGAGGGAGGGAGGGAGGGAGGGAGGGAGGGAAGGAGGGAGGAAGGGAGGGAGGGAGGGAGGCATGGAGGGGGAGGGGGAAGGGAGGGGTAAAGAAAGGGAAAAGATTAATGGGGGCTCATTCTCCTATTTCTAAAGGACTCACTGTAACAAGTTTAGGAACAACTTTTAAATGGTCCCTCCTTTTCTTTTGTTCCCATGATGACCTGAGGCAGAGGGAAAGGGCCACTGACCCCTTGGTATGTTGTCTCTGGGGCCAGATGCTTCCAATCCACTGGTTCCCTCCTCCAGCCCCAGGACACAGAAAATAATAATAAATGTTGGATGAGAATTTTTGCTTTGTTTCGTGGCCACAAAACACACTCAGCTCCCGGGAGAGAACAAGGCAGAGTCTCCTACCCTGTGCCTGACTGTCCCCACCAGGGCCCAACAGCTGAAGACCTCCGGGCCCCAGCCAAGGTCATGCTGGAACCACTCTCCACACACTTGGATGAGCCTCATGCATAAAAGAACTGGCAGAGGAACCCAAGTGTGTGGGACCCGGGGCTGAGATCTCCAAGCCTGCACGGTTTGGGACTGGATCTGCCAATAGCTAGACAGTTACACCCACCAACTGCTATGTAACCCCAACAACGACCAGGATCCAGAGATTATCACACTCCGCTCCCGTAAGCGCGGCCACGAATCATCTCATTCCTACTTTGGACAAACTGGCAGGCTACCGAGTGTAACCTGCCCACACGGCAGAGTCTGGCAAACTCCCCATGGCGTACTCAATATGCCAAATACCAGTAACAATGAAGGGTCTCATTCTCCTAACTCTGAAAGAGCCTCGAATAGGGCACTTTTCTTAAAAATCTCAGGGCTAGGACGAAGGAGACATTACTGGGGCTTGCTCAAGGCAATCGACGAATAACAGGATGGTTGTGTTGTGTTGTTGTGTTGGTAGTGGGAAATGTACACTGGTAGAGGGATGGATATTGGTACATTGTATGCCTAAAACCTGATCATGAAAGCTTTGTAACTATCTCATGGTGATTCAATTTTTAAAAAGTGTGTTATAATAATTACAACTTCAACAAAATTTTGTAAGACAAATTAAATTTGCTTTTTGCTCTATTGTGTTTTGCTGTGGGATTACACCCAGAAATGGCCAGTGATTTTTCCAGGCTCTGTGCTCAGGGTTCACTCTTGGTGGAATACTGGGTTACATATGAGGTGCTAGATATCAAACTAGGTTGTCCATGCATAAGGCAAGTGTCCTATCCACTACATTATCCAAGCCCCTAGGGTTTTATTTTTTTTAATTGTTTTTGTTTTTGTGCTAATCTAGCAATGCTTACCACATGTGTTAACACATTCTCACAAGCCTGTCAGTCTACATTCAACTTGGGAATGAGCAAATAGAAGCTATTGATGTAGATGGCAGTTATGAGAAATTCAGACTTGAAAATAATATATGTATACCACATCCTGCTATTTAAACCCTTAAGAACTGGCCAATTTATATATTATTTTATTTCTTCTTGAGATAACCATTTGCAGGAGTGTAAATGCTCATGTTTTAGGGGTAAAATGTTACAACGCTTCCCTAAAATGTCAATAAAGAGTTTTAAACATTAAAAAAAAGAAATCATAGAGGAAAAATTAAAAATAAAACCACCGATAACAACCAGAAGGCAGTCCAGTTTATAAACATGCAACTTAGAAAGGTCACTCCTGCAAGTGAGCTTGTAGGTACTATGGTGGCAGCAGGGAAATGACCTAAGAGGCCACCAGTCTCCCCAGAGAAAGAAAACTTATAGAGACTCCCACCTCTTCCTCTACAGGACTCCACCTTGGAACTCTGCATGATGGGTGCCACCAATGAGCAGGGGCCCTAATCTCACAAACGGTCCCTTTGAAACATCACTGATCCCTTGAGCTAAGATCTCTTCCAAAGATGATGAAGAGTAAGTGCAAACTCTAGGGCCAACAGCACAAGTCTGGCATGCTCGGGGCCCCAAGTTCTATCCTAGCTCCCATGGTCCCCTAAAGTGCCCAGTAAGTGGTGCTACCTGGTGCCACCCCCACACTGCCTGGCCCAACCACTGACCTGTCAGGCTTGCAGTGTTCCTGGGCTGAGAATCAGCTCCCTAAGCATGCTGTGGGGTCTGAGGACTGCCGGGGAGACCCCTACCATCCTCCAAATGTATGGAAAGCACACGGCACAAAGGGAAGATATACGTCACCCACCCACGTAGCTTGATTTTTTTTTTCATCAAACTTCAAAAATGCTAGTCACGTAGTACCAATTTCAGGTCTAATCAGACCGGCTTCTGGAGCCCCTCAGCAGCTATTTGGCAGTCACACAGAGTGCTTCAATCCATGACAATGTTTATTGACAGGTTATTCCTTTTCCTAATGGAAGTAAGGCAAGCAGACTGTCCTGGGAAGTATGTTCTTTCAAAGAGTCATTCTGGCAGAGGCAATGCAAGCATAAAACACCTTTGAATTTAGGTTATTGCTGGACTCCCACCCCCCAAATATTAATGAAAGATTTTAATATTATGCTATCAATATCCCTATCTCTGAGGTAAATGATGATGTGTGATGGCCTACCTTCAGGGCTGCTGGGGAAAAAAAAATCAATGCTCTTTTTAAAACTTGAGCTTTGATATTTGCAAAGTGCTTTTGGTTCAGATGAGGAAAAGTACTAAAGGAGTGCACAAACAGATAAATAAATCAATCTATTAAGAAAAGAAATTGCTCAGAGAAGATAAACAAATCACTCCAAAGCAGAATTTTATTAAACTTTACTCAGGTCTGATCCTCACACAAGCTACAAGAAATCTCCCAGAAAGTTCTCAACGCTCTGGCTGGAACCCGTTCCTGAGCAGCCCTGACCACTAACAAACAGTATGCTTGGCTCATTTCAGTTTTATCAGCCAGGGCTGAGAGCTGTCTTTGAGGAAGTCATTGATTAAAGTAATCAACCAATTCTACACATAATGATGCTCTGGCTTTGTATGCTTTAATAACAAAAAGCTTTTCTCACTAACACCCAGTAGCAATCAAGTTTGTGGGATCATAAACTAGCTTGTGCTTTTTGATCAAGGGTTCACACTTAATTTTTGTGGTTCACAAGATGATATATGCTGCTAAATCGGAATAGAATCTATCAATATTTCCTTATTAAAAAATGAACATAAATCAATGTGTTTATAATTAAACTAACCCATGTATTATTTCATCACTAAAACTCTATAGATGGAATTACATGTGCTAATTGATTCTCCTGGTAGTTTCCAAAAGGAGGACACGGAATTTAAAGCTTACCATACCATTAACGCACATGAAATCCTTAAACTCCAAAACAGATCTCACAATAGTTGTCCAGTATGTATATCTACACAGTTCATATAAACAGACACATAGGGAAAGAATAATAATGCTCTAATGTATTTTTGAGGACCAAAAAAAATTATACACACACAAAAAGTCTTACCTATTCAGTAGCAAAAAAGAAAATGAAATTATTTCATTACTGTATTACAGGGCTGGAGCAATAGCACAGCGGTATGGCATTTGTCTTGCACTCGGCCGACCAGGCTGACCTGGATTCGATTCCTCCACCCCTCTTGGAGAGCCTGGCAAGCTACTGAGAGTATCTCGCCTGTAGGCAGAGCCTGGCAAGCTCCTCATGATGTATTCCATATGCCAAACACAGTAACAACAAGTCTCACAACAGAGACGGGAGCAAATTGATGAACAACAGGAGGACAGTGCTACAGTGCTACAGTGCTACTGTATCACAATTAACTGCAACATTCCCCCTACCTTCTCTTGCTATTCACAAGCCTTCAACATATTCAAGAAACAACTACACAGAGTCAAATATAAGAGCAAAATTTATAGTGATGCAGAAAAATAATTGGAACACAAATATTTTTCAGTCCTCCTCTTTATTCTTTTATACAAAATAAACAAGGTCCAAAGGAGAAGAAAGAATTTCCTGGGCCCCTTAGTCAAGCCAGTGGATGGTTTGACTTCTCCCTTACCTACTTACTCCGGGCCCAGTCATCTCTGACTCCTGGCTCGGCACTCAGGAATCACATCTGCGGGTGCTCAGGGGACCATATAGGATGCTGGGGATCAAACCCAGGTCGGCCGCGTGCAAGGCAAATGCCCTCCCCACTGTGCTATCGCTCCGGCCCCTCCATTGGTTTCTTAATTCATTTCTAGGATGATGAATATGATCTTTGATCTCCACAATTAAACCTCAGAATCTTTTAAGATTTCATTACTATTCATCATTATCCTAGCTGCTTTACCTTCCTCTAAATTATTAAAAGTATTGCTTAAGCATAAATTAATCATTAGGCATTTAACCTCTAAACACTTTAATAAAATTGGGCTTATTGGCAATTTTTGCATAAATGTAAATTATCCCTTTCCAAATGAATTTAAAAACCAGCTGCAAACACTTGACTAGTAAACATTTAAAACTAATACTTGACTATCTCCAAAAGTCATATATTCAGACTGTCAACCTATGAAATATATTCAAAATGGACAGCTAGGCATATTTTAAATTAAACATAAGCTCGTGGGATTTAGCCTTTGTGGGCTTTGCACATTTAGACTTGTGTCAATATTAAGAGTCAATACAGACCGAATACTAAAACACTCAATCTCTTACGCTGAATTTTTTTTTAAAACCAAGGATTCTCTCAAAAGCATCAATACCCTTTGAAAATCATTTCTAAACCCCAAAATAAACTCTATCTGAGGGAAGATTCATTGTAATTGAATATGGAATCACAACTTGGGCTGTGCAACACATTAAACAATTAAACAAGCAAGAAGTTTAATTAAATTTCTAATTCACTTTGGATTTTACTCTATCCTACAATTATAAGCCCTGATGTACTCTAGACTCAGGTGTGTCCTGCTGAAAATAAATCTGCAGTGTGAGCAAGAGACCATGTAGAATGGATGGTGGGATAAAGGGCCCTGCTGACTGCCACTGGAGGCCAGCTGCTTTTAAATCCTTTTAGTCCTGAAAATGCACTGGTCACTGGACAAGAATCGTAGCCAATGATTAGGATACTGGAAGGAAAAGAAAAGTATAACCCCCATATTTCTTTCCTTTTTTAAAAAATTGAATCACCTTGAAATACAGTTACAAAGCTTTCATGTTTGAGTTTCAGTCATACAATGATCAAACACCCATCCCTCCACCAGAACACATTTTCCGCCACCAATGTCCCCAGTATCCCCGCCCCCACCCCTCCTCCCCCTGCCTCTATGGCAGACAATTTC